AAGTTCCTTGATGATGCTGGTGTTGACTCTCCACAGCATCAGAAATTCCTGCTGACTGCTTCTGTTTTGATTATGTTCTGTTGTCTCAACAGCCGACCCAGTAACTTGATCATCATGTCTCCCATTTGCTCCTGTGGATTTTTTCTTGTTTGATCCTTCAGATTTGAAAACTTGCTCATTAGCATTAGCAGCTCTTGTAAGAGTTTCAAGAGCCTTTAGTATAAGAGTCACAACCTTCGGAGCATCAGGGTGATCCAAATCAATCACTTGAAGAATGCAAGTCAGACACTGAACCATTCCTCCATCTATCATGCTTTTTGCTATGTCAGGGGAACACCCAGGTAGGTTGCTGGATGATGAATTCTTTGACAAAATTGAATAAACCAAATCAGCAAAAGCAAAAACTCTTTTATCAGGCAACAAAACATTATTTGTCGAATTGCTCTCCAAGTTTGAGAATGAAAACAAGGCTTTCACAAGTTCATTAATCACTCGTTTACGGCCTTCACTAGAACGGCCACATAGAACAACCAAAAACCATGAAGCTTTTTCAGACAGCTTGTCTCTCCATTCATCAGGTCCTGCAGATTTATCAACGGACATTGGAAGTAGATGATGCAAAACATGGTGAAGTATTCCACCATGTCCATCAGCTTGATTAGATCCCCGGGGTTGAGACATTTCTGAATCCCGTCTCAGTATAACCCCGACAGCATGTACATACATGAGAAGAATATCGCTCAATAACTTGAGGACAAAAGTTATCTTAGCCAATCCTGCAGATCTCTCAGACTCTGGCTCCGTTTTCCTTGTCTCACCCACCTTTGATTTACCCTTCACCTTGACATTAGGTTCATCGATCTCCATGGAAATTAGTTCACTTGCACAATCTTCCTGGCTTCCTTTTGGTGAAGGATATTTCAAAACAATCTCAAGAAGTTGATCGATTACTTGGCTGAGATTGGCAGGAATTCTCTTGTGGCCCTTGGAACATTTACCCGATCCATCATGCAACTTATTTTCAGAAATTCGGACAGGGTCACTAGAAGATAATCCAAGTTCACCACCTGGAACTTTTGATTTTTCCTTTTCCTTCGACAAAACCACATAGGTTCTCCCTCCTGATGACTCCAACTGACAAACAGCAGCTGCAGCCTTCATGAAAACCATGGGATCTCTTGAGATAACGGGTGCCATTGACGTTAAAAATGTTCTGGTAGATATCCGCCCAGCATGCCTATTCCCACTTAGAGTTTGCCTTATCTCCAACTCCATTGCAGTTTGCAGAGTTTGAGGATCTTCAAGAAGATGCCGAATTATAGCAGATGCAACAGTGTCATATCCAGGGAAAAAACATGTTCTTGGGAGACTGAAAAGAGCAGCTAATCCTCCATTTTCAAGAAATTGCAAAGCTAGACTGTGTGTTTTTGTCAACCGAGCACATAACTGGAGAACAGCCTGCATGATCATGGCTGGAACATGTTGCTTTATCAAGTCACAAGCAATTAGCAGCAACTTTTGACCCTCTTCAACTGTCAAGTAGCCAGTAGATTTCCCCAATATTCTCTCAAAAGGATTGCAGGTCTCTTTATCAGGGATATCTGGAGTTGATTTTTTATCCACAGCTGACGCTTGCTCCGACAAAGAAGCAGGCTCTGCCAAAGAGTCTGGCAATGATCCTATTTGACTTCCATCCTGGGTTTCAGCAATTATTCTCGGCCGAGACTGCAACATGTTATCTAAGATAAGCAGTAAAGCACTAATACATTTTGGAACCAGCACCTCATTTGCATACTCATTTTTGGCCTTAAAATTCATCAAGATATCAATTGCAGTGGGGACAATACTGTTCTGTGAAGCAATTTCCTTCATACTTCCATCTTCAGAAAGAAGCAATGCCAAAACATGTGATATCATACTCAATGCACAGGTATCTTTTGAAAATTCCAAAGGACAAAGCTTCAGCTGCTGAATGAGATAAGATACCACCTTTGGACAATCCTCACCCTTATTACGATTGCAGAGAGTCACAAGCAAATCTGTCAAAGGGAATGCAATTGAATCACTGCTCTGAAATAACTTCACAGATGCAGCAAGAATATCTTCAACAGGGGGTTCTACTGG